ATTTATATTAATGTAGAAATTGTTCGAGATTTACATTCTGAAAATATTTACAAGAACAGATTGTTCTACAAAACTTCTATTTGAATAGAGTTCTTTTATTTTGTTAATTTTTAAATATTTGTCTTCTTCAACCAACAAGCCAAACATCAAGTAATTGTTTAAAATAAAAGTTGTAAGTTCCTTTCTAGCTTAACAAATTAAATGAAATATTCATACTTTATAAAAAAATAAATCTTTAATTCCAAATCAAAATTTTACGGATTCAGACTGATAAGCTTTTAAAAGAAAAATTAAAAAAAAACCGGAGATATAATCCGATTGAAAAAAAATATAAAATTAGATTAACTGCAATAATATGCATGTAACTTTAAAAATGGATTTTGTATACGAAACAAAAGAATCTATTCTTAGCAAACTATTCAACAAAAAAACCTTAAAACGAAAACACAAATTGAAGAAGAATAGAAAACTTGTAAAGTATGAAAATTACAAAAAACTTTATTTAAAAGAGAAGAAACAAAATGAAGAATATGTTTCTCTCTTGAATAATGTTCGTGACTATTTTGGAAAATCCTGGTATACTTTTCTTAACGATTGTGAAGAAGCAAAACAATTCAATGATTATTCAAGGTATCTTGTAAACGATATCTTGAAAGAAGATCAAGTCGATAACGAAATAAAAGAAGTTATCAACTTGACAAATGAAGAAGGTGTCGACAAAGTTGGTGAGAAAGAAGAAGGAGATTTTGATTACTATTTTAAGCTCGATAAGAATAATACAGTTTTACTCGACGATTGTTTTATGCAGCATTTTGAACACAATCATACTATCGATAATGATTTATTATCAGTGTAATTTATCGGCATATTTATTTTTGGAAATTTTATTATTATCAGTTGTATTGTATTTATATTGAATAAAGTAAATGTCGCAGTTGATTTTGACTATAAAAAATATCTAAAGTTCCTCTTGCTCTCTACGATTTATTCGTTTTGATTTTTATATATTTTTTTAAAAAAATCTTTCAAATCTTTTATTTTTATAAATGTCTAACTACAACTCTGAACTCTGAATCTGATGATGGTTTGAATTATTTATAATGAGAGTACATCAACAAACTAAAGAAATTCAAAGATACAATTTCGTTTTATCAAAATTGCTTATTTCTTTTATTCGCTTTATTTATAATAGTCGTCGGTATTGGCGGCTATTATATAATTTGTTTAAACAATTTAAACATGCAGCTTCTTCGCTCACAAGTTGAGGTCGAAGTTGCAAAAGAGTTATTTAACAAGAATATCGATTTAATAATCGATTTCTTGAACCAACATCGGTTGTAAGTTCAATTTTATTTTGCGAATTTGATGTATTAAATGAACAATTATATTTATATTTTTTATTTTATTATTTAGATAAAAATAATTTATTTACAGCAAGAAAAAACTAATAAGCTAAATATTTTCTGTTATATTCTTCAAGGTCTGTCCAACTCCACAAATATTTAACATTATATTTTTTAATATAATCATTAACTTCTAACAAATATTTATCAATTATTTCAACATTTCTTTCATTTACATCTTTCAATAAATCTAGTGTATCATTAATATAATGAAAATAGTATCCATTATTCCATCCGTAAAATGTTGACTTTGTGTGAAATTCTATCCACGACAAAATGTTGCTTAGTCTTTTATGTGGGGTTTCATGGTAAATTTTTAATGAGGGGTTAATTAAATTTTGTTCAACAAGGTAGTTTCTAAATTTTTCATAACTTGTAAATACAATATAATCATCAATTTTAATTTCTTCGATAAATTGTTCTTCAAATTTAATCGTTGGTATGGGAGCTTGAAAAAAGTCTTCATTATCGTCAGTTAACTTTGACGAATAATTTCTCCATTCTATATCTTGAAAACAATCTTCCCAATCATCTTCAATTTTTTTTTGTTTTTTCAATGTAATAGTTTTGATTTCTTTAACAAAGTTTTTAATAAAAGTCATTTTGAAAATTTTATAATTGTAATTGTAAAATTTGTTGGTGGTTTAATAAATTTTAATTTAACGAATTTGTAAATTTTTTAACTCTTTATATAGTTAAAAAACTATAAAAGAATAAGATAATAAATATTAATTTAAATAAAAATGGAAACTTGTTTTTTAAATGTTTGTCATTTGATTAATTTTCGTTAAAAGTTAAAGGATTTTAACTTACTTTCGGAAAAAATTAAAAAAAACATGTTTAAAAAAGTTGTTAATTTGTTTTTATTAAAAAAAACTATAAATAAACAGGTTTCGTCATTCACACATAACATGATCAAAACAGAATTTTCGAATTTTCTTTAAAGTGAACCAATCAAACTTTCTTTAATTTCCAAATCAGATTTTTTACGTATTCGGCAATTATTAGTTATAGAATTTTTAATTACCAACGATAAGCCTTTAAAGGAAATATGAAATGTAAATAGTACCAATCAAGTTTTTTTTAAAAAATTATAAAGGTGTTAAAAAAAAAAAGTTATCGTCCTTAAAAAAACTTTAAACAAAATGCCTAAAGATACCCAAAAATATGAATTTATCTCTGAAAAAGTTACTACATATCCTTATCCCAAACCCAAAGAACAATTTGTTAGCAAAGATATTTATAAAGAAGAAAAACATCTTCGTAAAAGACTTGAAAGAAGGATTGAAGAGATTAATGAAGCGTCTCTTCAAAACATCAGTAGATTACAAGAAGTCATCGAAGAGAAGAATAATTTTATTGACAAATTACTTGATGAATTCAGATAGCTTGAAGCATTCTATGGTCCAAGCTTCCAATGTGCCAAATGGGTTTATCAGAATTAAGTATTTGTTCCTATCTATCAAGAGGGAGTTGATGAAAACCTATATACTGAACAGGTTTATTCAAACAAGGATCTTTATATAGATCCCAAAGTTCCAGTTGATAATACTGAGAACCTTGATCAGGAAGTTAATAATATTGAGAACCTTGATGACCAAGAGGTTTCAAATTATACTGAGAGTTTTGATTCAGACAAAGATGAATTAAATAATTTTAAATGTCCTGTTAAGATTCCAGAGGATGAATATGATTTCTTAAATTTTTCTGATTCTGATTAATTTTATTTCCTAAATAGTATTTTCCTAAATAGTATTTTCCTAAAACAGTATTTTTAAACAACTTGTGTATAAATAATTTTAAAATAAATAAAAAATTATAAAAAGAATAAATGTCGCCTTTGTCGATTTTTTTAAAAAAAAATTAAATGGGTCGTGATCAAAGATTTAGATATATTATATCTACTATTTTTTACTATATTCCTTGTTTGACTCATTTCAAGTGCAAGAAAAACTTGTCTGATAAAGATAAACAGCAACGTGAAGAGGAATATTCGAAAACTGGGAAGGTTCCTCAATGTGATAAATGTCTCAAAAATTATTGCCGCTATAAAGATAAAAAATATGATCAATGTTGTAAATTAAACGAATGCAATGAAATTGAATGTTCTTAATGTAAAGAATCTAAAGTCAAATGCCAACGCGTTTTACCAAAAACTAAAGAAAAATTTGCAGTATTGGAGAAACTTGGTTTGACATACGTTTCTGGACAGTACGAAGCTACCGATTCAGGAAAATTTCACGAACAATGTTATTTTCAATTCGATAAATGCCAAACTATTAACAGCGTAAAAAAAATATTCGATCATCAAGCAATAAACTTTCCTAAATATTTAAATGGCGATTCTGATAAGAATCGTGATTACAGTCAAAAACAATGGAATCGTTGCAAAGATCCCAAACATAAAAAAAAATGCTATTGTGATTTCCAGAAGAAGGAAAAAATTTGTAACGTATGCAATAAAAACTGTATAGACAAACGTACTCTTGCCCGTTGGAGAGCCTTGGAATTATCAAACAATGAAAATGGACCTTGGATTTTTGGAAATTATCGTTATTTAGGAACTTCTACTGAACTAAAAGGTGATAATACCAATACATTAAATGCGAAGAGATTAGAGGATATTGAGAGAATCAATCATATTATCGAAAATAATTTTACGATAGACGATATATTAAAAAATAAAAAAGATCTATTACCTTGGAGCTGGCTCAGGAGTTTAAAAGATTTTGAATATTTAATTAAAAAAGAGAAAGAAATACAAGAAAAAAATATTAAAAGATTCTGGCACCCCTGTTGTATTTATTTATTTGAACCAAGCGGATCTGGCAAAAGCGGTTTGGTACAAAAATTATTCAGAGAAGAACTTTATTCTAAATCTCAGAAACAGAAGAGTGGTTCAAATTGGTGGGATAATTATTCAGGTCATGATATAGTTTTTTTGACAAATGGTATACTTGTTTGTCATGGGGGACATTGTAAAGTTATTGAATGATATGGATGAACGTGTTGAGATTAAACACAAAGGTTTTACACCTTTTCTAGCGAAATATGTCTTTATGATATCGAGGAAAGCTTCTCAAGAAGCATTCAATTTTGGAAATGGAAATGTTGTTGATAATGCAACAGTCCATCGGGATTTTGGTCAATTCGAACGAAGATTAGATTTTGTGATTCAGTTTACTGGAAATTGAAAGGATCGAACGACACAAATTCACTTTCTCAAGAGTTCTGAAATAGATTTTCGAAATATGAATTGGAAAATCGAATTTGATAGAGGTGAATTTTCAGACGATCAAATAGTTGAAAAAATTAAAACATCAGGTTTTAAAGATAGAGAAATCATTTTCGATAATGAAAAAGTTTTATGGCATCAAAATTTTCCAGAATTTAAAAAAAATTATCTTCGAGACTATCCAAACAGTAAATCTTTATACCAATACAAATTAAAACTTGAGAATTCTCATTGTGAAGTCTCTATTGAACTAGAAAATTTAGAATATGATTCACATTTAAGTGAATATAATTCAGATGAGTCGCAATATACAAAAGAGAAAAAGTTAAAAAACAAAACCAATAGCAAATGTAAAGCAGATCAATTAGAAAAAGCAGTTGTTAAAAAAAAATAAATAATAATTTTTATTTGTTAAAAAATAAACTAAAAAATCACAGAATATCGCTAATTGTTTTGCCTGTTCATTAGTTCTGTTCTTTGTAATCCCAAACCATTTAATTTTACTTTTATTATTTTCCTACCATTGAAATCCCCAAGCTTTAAGTATTTTATGATAATAAATTCTATTATAACCTGAAGTGTTGGTTTTAAATAATTTATGATTTAATGCATTTTCTCTTGGTAATGTCTCTCGTAAATTGATTTCACGATTGTCAAGACTATTTCTATTGATATGGTCGATCATTTTCCATTCAGAATGAATCAATCGATGAAGTAGTAATGTTTTTTCTTTATTTTTTGTTAATATGTGTTTGCATTTTTATATTTCCAACAATGCCAGGTATAATTTTTTAAGAAATGAAAATTCTCTTTGTCGATCAAAAAAGTGATTTCAGGTTTTTGAGTTTTCACTTCTAAATAGATAGTGAAATTGATTTTTATGAGACGATACTCATTCAATTTAAGTCTTGGTTTTTCAGGATTCTCATATTTTTCCCAATCAGTCAAAACTTCAAAGTTTTTGAATTTCTCTGGCCAGTTTGAATCTATTATTTTAAGAAAAATAAAATATTTAATTTATATTTATACTTTTATTTTAATATGAATAAATATTTCGAAAATATTTACAGTTATTATATCTAAAGAACTATTTTTTTCTGTCGTTTGAATTTCGGAAATAAATTTGTTTTTGTTCTTCAGGACATTTACATAATTCAGAATATTTGAAACCTGAACGATCATACTTAGATGTAATA